TGCATTTTATTTGAAATAGAAAACTTTTGTAGCGTAGTAAATGTATTTTCTGTGACTTTTGATCAACTTAATGCATCCCAGCTGAATTAAAGTATTAAAGTATAAAAAAAAAGTTTTATGAATCTTTTGTTTAATATACAAAAAATTATTGTAACAGTTCATATTTTAGGCAGTCTTCTAATGACACGCAAATCATAAATGGACACTTGAATTAATTTGCTGAAAGGTTGCAGATGTCATTATGATTTATGGTGCATTAAGTACATTATTTTCATAATGGGGAGATATGATGCTAACAGGCTTGATGCATAATTCAGCTGTAATTTCACACTGTTAGTTGAGCAAGAAGTTGACATAGTGAACCTGAAGTAGTCTTACGGAATGATTTCAAACAGATGGTTCAGTGCTGTTGTAAATTTAAATATGCAGGTTATGTGGAGCAAGAGTGAGGTCTCTGCATCTTCATAAAGTGTTTGGAGTGAATTATCTTATTGTCTGTTTTACTGTTCTATTGTGTTGATTTGGCCATGTCTCTGGCAAGGACTATCTTCATTCTCTCAAGCACAAAGATCATCTCATCATATCTTGTTTTTAACCAGTCATTCACTCTGACTATCTGTTTGCTTTGCACAGTATAGTTTGATGAGAAAATCCTGCAATTATCTCACATTCTTTAGTTTTTGCATTCTGGTGTACTTTAACAACATTCCACACGTGCTGTTGTAAATTTAAATATGCAGGTTATGTGGAGCAAGAGTGAGGTCTCTGCATCTTCATAAAGTGTTTGGAGTAAATTATCTTATTGTCTGTTTTACTGTTCTATTGTGTTGATTTGGCCATGTCTCTGGCAAGGACTATCTTCATTCTCTCAAGCACAAAGATCATCTCATCATATCTGGTTTTTAACCAGTCATTCACTCTGACTATCTGTTTGCTTTGCACAGTATAGTTTGATGAGAAAATCCTGCAATTATCTCACATTCTTTAGTTTTTGCTTTCTGGTGTACTTTAACAACATTCCACATATGACAGATATTTCCTGGGAACCTTTGCAATAGTTGATTTGTACACTGAGTTTGTTGACAAAGCTTTGTCAACAAGCTTCATCAGAAAAATCATGCTTGACAATGTTAAGCAATATTTATATTTATGTATGTATGTATGCATTTAATACTCATTATATAGAATCTTTATGGTCTTTATGAATAGTCATTATTATTAGTGGTATTATTAGTTATTGTTTTTATTATCATTATTATTAGTAGTAGTAATAATAATAACTAATGACTATAGTGGCACAATTACTAATTTATAAAAGTTTTGTAGCTTCAAAATCTGTCATAATACAAAAGTAAAAATGTTGCAGTTGCTGTTTCAGGTTTACTTATTTCATTTGTTTCAAGTGTTTCAACAGTGTTGTATTAGCATTGTATTTTTCATGTGTTTGTGTGGGGGGAAGGGGAGAATGGCGTGTGTGTGTGATGTTATCTGTAATGACATGTCTTTAAGGCAGATGCAAGTACAGCAGAGACAATCTGTCCTCCTGACACAATAGAGCCGTGACTATGATAGACCATGTGCTGTTTTTGTGTCTGTACCTGATTCTCTCTGGAAAATGTCTCAGATCTTGCAAACCAAGAGGGCTGAACAAATGTTTCCACCGACTGAACACCAGTTTCTGCAGGGCTTAATGAATAGACTTCACACACACACACACACACACACACACAGAGAGAGAGAGAGATGCCTGTGGCATTTTCACCCGCATCTGTTGTCTTGTGACCTCTCAGTAATTGACTTGGCTCAAACGACAAAGAGAAAGACTGACAGACAGATATTAGTGCAGCAGCTTCAAAAATGCATTTATCTTTCTTGGCCAAAAACATAACACTGTGCCTAAAAAAGGTTTAATGGTTGTGGCTTTTAGTCCATGTCTTCCATTAATGTCATCAATATACTAGTGTACATTTGTTTTTTGCAAATACACATTTGAAATTTACGGTGTTTCTCTGCCAGAAAAAAATAAATGTTTAGAATAGAAACTGATAAACTGATAATGATGGAGTGTATCCCAATGTTTATCCAATCAGATGCTGTCTAGAAATAAAAACCTTCCTCTAATACCACATGCAGTTGACTAGCAATAACAATTAGCAAATCTAATTCCTTTCAACAGGAAATACATAATTACATGAAAACTGTGCTTGTCAACACTTGTGTAAAATAAGTGCACTTGTATTGAATGTGCACTTGTAGTGTGCTTCAAATCTTTATATATATATATACTTAAAAAGTGTGCATATATACTACACTTAAAAAGTGCACTTTAAAAGTTGTGGTAACACTTTAGAATAGGGAACACATATTTACTAATAATTAAAAGTTTCCCTAAATAAACTCCTAATTTGCTGCTTATTAATAGTTAGTAAGGTACTTGTTAAGTTTGTTTGTTAACAGCTAATTAACAGTGAGAATTGGTCCTTAAAATAAACTGTTACCAAAGTTTTAAAGGTGACCTATTATGCCGATTTTTACAAGATGTAAAATAAGGCTCTGATGTCCCCAGAGTGTGTATGTGAAGTTTTAGCTCAAGATACCCTACAGATCATTATTATAGCTTGTTGAAATTGCAATTTTTAGGGTATGAGCCAAAACGGACGCGTCTTTTTAAAGATGTCATACCATCCGTGTGTTTCTGGGTGCGGTCGTTACCTGGCGCCGGGTGATGGTCACGATCGCTGCCTCTCGTGCCTGGGCATGAAGCACGCTGAGGTGGCTTTCGTGGATGACTCATGCTCCCATTGCGGGGGTATGACCATCACGGAGTTGCAGACCAGACTCCGTTACCTGCAAGGGGACAGGAGCAACTTTTGTGCAAAACCTGCTTTATACTGACCCTCATTCACAAAGCAGTCCGGTGTAAAATGATCCGCGCAGACATAAACACATTTCTGTAGAGTTGAGGGAGCATTTTCTTCGAAAACTAAATTAATCCACCTCGTCTTCAGCGGTTCAGATTTCGGGAGTAAATAGAGAGAGCTATGTGGATTAATACATCCAGCTACAGAACACCTAAAACGCTTGGGAGACATTCTCGTCAGTGCAGTAATGGCAAACTGTGTACAACTCGCTGTGAACTCGGCTTAACGTAGTTTAACGTAGAACTGGGCGGTTCTACGTTAAAATGGCAGTGTCTGTCAACATTCGCGGGCGGGGCCTGTGGCTAATGTGACGTCACTTTAGCACCAATGCTAAAAATAGGCCATTGGTAGACACTGCTTATTATTTATGGGGATTTTAAAAAAAAGGAGTGGGTGTACATACACTGCTAACACACATTTATGTCCAAACACCTTGCAAAAGTGAAATTTGCATAATAGGTCCCCTTTAAAGTGCATTACAAATCATTTTGTCTTAATAATCTTTTGTCATACACTTATTTTGATGTGCTGACTAACAGACTAAAGCACATATTAAAATACTTGATTATAATTTTAACTGTAGTGTTACATTTATTTTATTTTAAATTTGCAATAAACATACATTTAATTGTCTGAAATTTAAAACATTGTGTACTTCCTTTCACAAGGGGAAGCCATTTCATGGGGTCTTTAAGCGATACATTGTAGCAGCACAGACCAGGATAATGACATTCATCGTCAAATATTTTCAATATTGATTTTTGTACGTGTTCGTTTTTACCTACAAGAAACTGAATAATAATAGCCATCTATTTTAAGAACTATCCCTTTGTTTTCCACCTTCTTGCTCTATTCAGTTCAGCTTTCCTTTCTGATGGTCTTTCCCTTGTGAATTTTTTCCTAATTATGACCTCTGTCTCTCTCTCTCTCTCTCTGTCTCTGTCTTTATGATGTGTCTCTATGCGTGAGATGATCAGTTACTAATCTTGCCCCCTGGTTATGATAACCATGGGAACCGGATGGAATGTTTCAGATCTCACTGTCATTGCTGCAGATGTTTGCTCAGACTTGTGTTTCCTCAGAAGGGGGCGGGGCAGTGCTTCATCTCGTGCAGATATGTTATCTATATTCTATTGTGAATAAAATATAAGTTTATGAGATTTGTAAATTATTCCATTCCTTTTTTACTCACAATTTGTACAGTGTCCCAACTTTTTTGGAATTGGGTTTGTAAATAATACATACAAACTATAATACATTTTTATTTAATTAAAAGTAACATACCCTAGTGAAAAATATATATACTAAAATGTATTTTAAATGCATTTATTTTATGCTAAGTATACTACAAATACATTTACATATTTATGTACTTAATAAAAATACCCTGCAATTGTGCTTTTAGTATACTAAACTGGTGCACGTAAAGTTTGCTAAATTGGAACAACTAATTTTGTGCTTAATGCACTTTAATTGAGTGAAAGTCTTGCTGAGCTCCAATTAAATATATACTGAAGTATATTTGATTGTGCTAAAGTGGAACTATTGCAAGTATACTTAAGGTACGCATTTATTATTCAAAGAGCATACAGTCCTCATCAATAGTGACATTAAAACACATTTAGGCTTAATATTAAGAAATAATTAAGTAGTACTCCAAAAAAAAGTTTAATTATAATTTTTACATCAGTAAGTCTCGAGCAATATGTCAGTAAATATGCTAATTGTTTTTGAACACTACCTAGTATGAAATAAATGTTTTCTAAATATATTGGTTTTTACTTGGGTACATAACAAATAAATGTCCAAAAACATTACATTCAGTTCACACTTAAGTATATTATTTTAAAGTATATTATTTCTGTAATAAGCACTCTTTTTAAAAGTATGTTAAAGTGTACTTCATTTTAAGGGTATGCTTATCTTAAAAGGCACCTGAATGATAAATATTACAGCCAACATGCAATCGTTTTTCTTTGTCAGCACCTTAGATTCAGAAGCAAAATGTCTTTATCATAAAGCCTAATTGGTTCTAACTTGAACATTTATTAAATAATCTGTGTGTTTTGTTGTTAACAGCATCGAGCATCGGGGCGGGTTCTGTTCGAGATGGTCTGCTTGCATCTGAACCTTATTGAGGGGGATTACTTTGGCCTGGAGTTCCAGGGCCATCACAGAAAGATGGTAAGTCAGAGTTTTTTCCTTAAGGTCCTTTTTTTTTTGTACAGTCATAATTCATTTTTTTTTACCATTTTCTACCATTTTTCTGACCCTTATAATTAAACAAGTTGATTTTTGGGTTACACTTTATTTCGATAGTCCACTTTAGACATTCTATTAACTATAAGTAACTTTGTAACTACATGTCAACTACATGTCAAATAATTCTCATTAATTTGCAACTAGATGTCTACTAACTCTCAGAGTAGACTGTTAGGGTAGGTTTAGGGTTAGTAGAATAAGTTGACAAAGAAAGTGTTAGAAGATATTAAGCAGACAGTCGACTAATACTCTACTAACTGCTAGTTGACATGTAGTTGCAAAGTTACTTACTGTTAATAGAATGTCTAAAGTGGACTATCGATATAAAGTGTTACCGATTTTTGCTGCTGTAGGAGCTCAATAATCTCAACACTAAAAAATGGTTGTTGTTAATGTGTCAATGAGTTTCTTAATTTTTGCAGTGTCTTAATGTTTTTATACAAAACAAAATTAACTGTAAGCTGATGCTGTGTGTAGTACAAGGCCTGTTTCAAGATCCGTGCTTCAGTCGTACTCATCTCTGCTGTGTGCTCTACTCCACAGGTTTGGTTGGATTTCCTAAAGCCCATTAGAAAGCAGATCAAACGTAAGAGGCCTCACTGCTGCTGTGTGTGTGTGTGTGTGTGTGTGTGTGTGTATGAGAGAGAGAGTTTAGTATCTCTCTGTGATTTCCACAAGACATACTAGTCTCTATTTTTGAACGTTCTGATTCTAACACATTCATGCTAGGTTTATATAAATGTAACCCCGTGCATGCGTGTGTGTCCAGGGCCCAAGCACACCGTCCTTCGGTTTGTTGTGAAATTCTTCCCACCTGATCATACAGTGCTGATGGAAGAGCTGACCAGGTGAATCCATCTCTCCACTCGCTCATTCCCTCTGGTCATTCAGTGAGGCTTTCATGTGTCTCTCACATGTGCTTGTATGCCTGTTCTCTCTCAGGTACTTGTTTGCGCTGCAGGTAAGGCAGGATCTGGCCAGCGGACGTCTCACCTGTAGCGACGCCAGCGCTGCTCTGTTGGTGTCTCATATCATCCAGTGTGAGTTATGCTATAAACTAAAACCAATTGTTAAGACTCTAAAATGTGATTGGATGAGCTGCCCTAAAAAGTATAACATAGCCCATATACACACCTATAATTACACATTAACTATATTATGCTTCAAAATA